ATTCAATGAGGGTTCCATCTGTAGGGGCAAACCGTTGCCCCAGCTCCTGTCTTTCTAGTTCTTTATATGGCTCCCATTACTGTAATATCTGAGGCCAAGTAATAGTGCTAGACACTGGAGATCTCTAATTGGGGGACATGTGTCAGCCCCCAGGCCCTGGAGCAGAGGCAGTCCCTAGGCTACTCAGATATAATGGTGGGGCTTCTGCAAACTCTACTGCATCTCTGTGGAAGAGCCATATGTGTCTCAATTGATTTTGCCTGACGCCAAGAACTGAACATAAGAACCTCAGAATGGCCATACTGGGTCAGACCAAAGGTCCATCTAGCCCAGTATCCTGTCTTCCGACAGTGGCCAATGCCAGATGCCCCAGAGGGAATGAACAGAACAGGTAATCATCAAGTGAGTCATCCCGTCACCCATTCGCAGCTTCTAGCAAACAGAGGCTAGGGACACCATCCCTGCCCATTGGTGGACCTATCCTCCAGGAACTTATCTAGTTCTTTTTTGAACCCTCTTATAGTCTTGGCCTTCACAACATCCTCTGGCAAAAAGTTTTGACTGTGTGTTGTGTGGAGAACTACTTCCTTTTGTTTGTTTTAAACCTGCTGCCTATTAATTTCATTTGGTGACTCCTAATTCATGTGTTATGAGGAGTAAATAACACTTATTTACTTTCTCCACACCAATCATGAGTTTATAGGTCTCTATTATATCCCCCCTTAGTCGTCTATTTTCAAAGCTCAAAAGTCCCAGTCTTATTAATTACTCCTCATATGGAAACAGTTCCATACCCCTAATCATTTTTGTTGCCCTTTTCTGAACCTTTTCCAATTCCAATATATCTTTTTTGAGATAGGATGACCACATCTGCATGCAGTATTCAAGATGTGGGCATACCATGGATTTATATAGAGACAATACAATATTTTCTGTCCTATTATCTATCCCTTTTTTAATGATTCCCAAAAGTCTATTCGCTTTTTTTAAGTGCCGCTGGGTGGATGTTTTCGGAGAACTATCCACAATGACTCCAAGATCTTTCTTGAGTGGTAACAGCTAATTTAGACCCCATCATTTTATATGTAGAGTTGGGATTATGTTTTCCAATGTGCATTACTTTGCATTTATCAACACTGAATTTCATCTGCCATTTTGTTGCCCAGTCAGTCAGTTTTGAGAGATCCTTTTGTAGCTTTCACAGTCTGTTTGGGACTTAACTATCTTGAGTAGTTTTGTATCATCTGCAAGGTTTGCCACCTCACTGTTTACCCCTTTTTCCAGATCATTTATGAACATGTTGAATAGGACTGGGCCCAGTACAGACCCCAGGGGGACACCACTATTTACCTCTCTCCATTCTGAAAACTGACCATTTATTCCCACCCTTTGTTTCCTATCTTTTAACCAATTATCAATCCATGAGAGGACCTTCCCTCTTATCCTACGACAGCTTACTTTGCTTAAGAGCTTTTGAGGGACCTTGTCAAAGGCTTTCTGAAAATCTAAGTACACTATAGCCACTGGACCCCTTTGTCCACATGCTTGTTGACCCGCCCCCTCGCCCAAAGAATTCTAATAGATTGGTGAGGCATGATTTCCTGTTACAAAAACCATGTTAACTCTTCCCCAACAAATTATGTTCATCTAGGTGTCTGACAATTTTGTTCTTTACTATAGTTTCAACCAGTTTGCCCAGTACTGAAGTACTGGCCTGTAATTGCTGGGATCACCTCTGGGGCCCTTTTTAAAAATTGATGTCACATTAGCTATCCTTCAGTCATTTGGTACAGAAGCTGATCCCCTTAAAGACTAAATACTATGCTGGTGGAGAGAGGAATTCAAACAACAAATAAATATTATCCTCTGTAATCTGTGTCTTTCTGCATAACACCACCACCTCAAATAAGCTGGTTCAGAGCTGTTATTTTGTTAACTTCTACAGTGCCTGTAACCATGGACATAAGAACTTTAATTACAGGGATTAAAATACAAACAAAAAATTAATGAAATGCTAAACAACATCAGTTTATCTTGTCCTGCAGATCACTAGATTCTTGCTCTCCTGGACTGAAAAGTAGTGAAGTCTAAAACCCGACTCAGCTAAGAGCGACTTTTCAGACTTTGGGGGGAGGAGGCTATTCTCCACTGCCTTGACCTGGGGAAAAGGGGTGAGAAATACTACCATACAGATCTGCTCATGTTTTGTATTCACTTTGCACAGGTGTGACTGACTCTGCAAGGTGCAGGTGCAAGGGGGTGGAGAATCAGGTCCCGTGCGCTCCAACAATACCAACAGCAAGAGCCTCCTTGCCAGTCTCAGCTGGGGCTTTGCAATCTTTGCCATCCTCAGCTGAATGTTATAGGTCATGCAGGTAGTGAGGCCTATAGTTAAGTTGCTCACCACTTACTACCATAGACTTAGGCCTGTCAATCTGGACCGGGGGGGGGGGGGGGGAAGGGAAGGAATTCCTTCCCACTCCCGCCTATGAGAATTAGTTAGACCCTGAGCATGTGAGCAAGAACCAGGCAGCTACACACTTGAGAGAGACTGTTTGGTGCCACCTCAAAGCCCTGGCCCACCCTACTATCCCATCTACAGCCATAGCCATCCCTGATACTTCAGAGGAAGGAGACAAAAAATAATTCCAGAATACATTGGTGGGGAGAAAAAATTCCTTCCTGACCCCTACAAGTCTGGCTGAAGCCCGAGCTTTTAGGAATATAAAGCATAAACTGGAAGTGAGCCCTAATATTGGTGAGCCCTGCACTCCCTCCATTACAGGCAACCCATCATACACTCTCACTTATAAATTTGTCCTATTCTTTCTTAAAACTAGGTTGCTCATCCCCACAACTCCTATATGGAGGCTGCTGTAGACCCTCACTCTTCTGATGGTTAGAGACCTTCTTTGCAGGCATAGCCAATTCATATCCATTTGTTCTTGTGTCAACATTTGGCCTTTAGGCCATTGTTTACCCTTCTCATGTATTTATAGCAAGAAATCGTATCTCCTCTCAGCCTTTTTTGCTACCTAACCAAGCCAAGCTCTTCCATTTTCCTAAGACAGGCCCTCCATTCCCTTGACCATCCCAGTAGCTCTTCTCCGCACCTGTTCCAACTGCAATTCCTCTTTCCTTAACACAAGTGACCAGAATTGTATATAATATTCCAAATGAGGTCTGACACCACCAGTGCCTTGTACAATGGCATTATACATCTCTAGCTCTGCAGGAAATGCCTCACCAGATAAAGCCTAGGAGCACATTTGCCTTTTCGCAACTGCATCACACAGGTGGCTTGGCATCCTGTGATTGACCAACAGACCAGGACCTCTCCTCCTCCATTGCATCCAACTGACAAGCCCCCCCAGCTCGAAGAAACCCTTATTGGACCCTAAGTACATGACCATGTGCTTTGTACTATTGAATTCCATCCTGTTTCTGTCATTCCAAAGTCCTGCTCCCACCCTATGTGGTATCATTATGGTGGTTCTGTTCCCAAAGAAGTCTTCAGAGCCACAGCAGGATTTTCCTTATGTTCAGGTTATATTTAAATCCAGCTTTGCCTATAAGCATTTGCTTAGTAGATTTACTCTAGTCTATTCTATACATTAGTTCATATGGGCAGTAGAAATTGATGTTTTATAGTGTGTGTATATATATATATATATATATATATATATATTAATCATATATATTTATATATATTAATCAGCTAAGGCACAATGTGAGTGTTAACTCTAAAGATATAATTGGATCAAATTCTCAGCTTGTGTTAAGTGGTGCAGCTCCACTGAAGTCCCTCACCATCACCAAACAGCACCATCCTACTAAGGTAACATGGTGTCTGTTCACTGCCTATTATGCTAGAAACTGGGAACATTAACCTTTGAGAAAAATTGATGGAAGGACCCAGTGTAATAGCATCCCGTTTACTGAGCACTTCAGTTTAATAATTAGGATGCTTGCTATTGATAAGGTAACAACCATTTCCTGGCCTGGGGCTTAGACACTGTGGTGATGAGGGCCACAAAAGGACATGTACGGACAACACAAGTAGTGAGGACAAAGGCAGAGTTTATTAACCAAATAACCACCACATACTGGCCAACACTGATTTTTTTTTTTAATTAAATGGTCTCAGTTTTAAAAGAAAAACACACAAACCAATCTGTAAAACTCCACCCTAGCAAAGTTGTTTTAATCTGGGTTTCAAAACTGAATTGAGAGGGAGAGGCTACAAACTAATGTCAACATAAGACTTACTGGGAGGATGCAAACCTTGCTGTCCTATAAAAAGGGAGGCCAATGCAATCTAGGGCCTGATGCTGCTTGCCCTACAGATGCAACTATAATTTCCTTTTGAAATCAGTGCTGCTAGGATTGACTCCTGTCCCTCCTTCAGCCTAAGTATTTTTTCCCCAACATGTTTTTTTCTATAATTTGATAGTCCCCATTTTTATGTTTGGGTTTAAATCTTCTTTTATGTAATTGTTATTTATTTGTATCATCTCAAGGGAGAAGCTGAGTTACCTCTTTGCTGTTGGAAACAGTTTGAAAATTCTGATCAGAGAGCCAGTGCAGAGAGCTTTGCATATTTGCTGTGGCAATTCAATGTCAGTATTATGCTGTAATTTTAGTCACATTGATGCCTTATTTTTGCCTGACTTCAGTAGCTACACAAGGCAAGTGTACAATTCATTCCATAGCCTTTCCTGCTCATTGAATACAACCACCAAGCCTGAATTCAATCTGGAAATTGTTCTTCAAAATCCTCTGAAATAGCTTATTACATATACCCATTAATACATACACCCACACAATTGAAGCTTCAATGTAATCATAATTAATTTTTTTATTCAGATCTAAAGCTGAATGAGATGTCAATCTACACTGTCAGTTATCAAGAAGCAAAACTCATTCTCGTGTCTGGAGATTTAATAAACAGAGAAACCATTTGCAAGAAGGAAGTCGAAACTACAAAACACGTACACATATTAGAATGAACTTGTGGTTGTACTTTATTTAGTCAGTGAAAATCTACCTTAAAAACAGAAAATAGAAAATCAACATTTTTTTAAACCCAGTACATTGGATTAGAGGAAGCTGCAAGCTTGGAGTTTAAGCACAAGCTACAGGTTGCAGCCTGAGTATTTCAGGGGCCAAAGCAATTGGCTGGAACAAAGTAGTATCTGTGTGTAGAGAGATGTTCCTTGCACCATTAGGAAGGTCTTAATGGTGCCCTATTTTATAGATGTCTGTAACAAGGAGAAACATTGGTTATACAGTTCACATTTGTTGCATTGCTTAGCTAGGCCCAGGATTAATATAAAAAACAAGCAAGATTTAAGCACTTGCTTCTCCGCTTCTACCAACAGACCATTTCCATTGTGAAACGCTAGCTTTCTTTAAATGAGATTTAGACAAGAAATAACTTTACATATTATTAACAGCTTTGGAACTACAAAGGGTTACACAGGTCATGCTATTGTTATTTTGTTTTACCTGTTGCAGTTATTGCAATATGGCTTAACGTACATAGGTATATAATTTTGTACAAACGTAACCGATTTCACATTTGCATGGTGTTATAAAAAGCACAAATAACGCAAGCAACATAAACTCTGGGAACTGACAGCCATTGTCAGAATTACTTTTGTAATTCATGCCCAAAGATAAGGGGTAGGAAAGAGACTGGATTGGTTGAGATCACATTTTTTAACTTTTATATATTTTTCTGTGAGTTAAGAAAAATCTTTATATTCTGCACTCATGGGAGTACTCTAGCAAGTTGCACTGGTGACAATGCAGATTGGTGTCATTTATAATTGGGCCAAAAATAAGGCCCTTCCTGCCATGTTCTTTGTAGGAGAATACTGACTTTTTAGAGAGCTAAAGGACACTGCTTTTTTCTGGGCATCCCCAGAGTTCCATCCGTTAATTATACCAACCTCTCCTTTCAATGTTACACACACACACACACACACACACAGCGTGCGTGTGCATTATGTCAGGTAAAATCATAGCAGAGTGAAGATCCTAATTCATTTTAAGTACAGTATCAAAGTGTCTTGGAGAAACATTTATATAAAGCCTCGAGTCTCACATGCACGACTAACTTCTGTTAAAATATGAGTGAGCTGAAAGAAGGGATTCCAAGGTTCTGAGCACTAGGTTGTTCTTTAGGGTTAAGGTGTCCCGGGTTAAATGTTTTACTGCAGCAGCATCTGCCTGTAGTACAAGTTACTAGAGACCTGCTCTTAATTCAGAATAGTTTCCCAATTTTAGGATTGAAGTGATATTCAACTACAGTTAAAACCATCAAGGGAAAAAAGACTTCTGCTAAAATTTCTCTAATTTTTTTTTTTTAAACATTGTTCCTGGGCTAAGCACTTTGAGTGCTGTTACAGAGAGTAGCAAGGGAGTGAGGGGAGAGATGGTAAAATGAAGAAAAGAGAAGAATTGTAAACTAATTTTTTTTAACAAAAATACATTCAACCCTCCATTTTCTCATGTACCCTAAAATGTTCAGAAGATAGCTATAAACACTTCACATAACTGGATATTTCTGCAGAAATTACTTTGTGTTTCTAACTCCTGATGACCAATATCTCCCTGCTCCAATACTTTGTGATGAGATGGTTTATGCCAAATACAGTGGGAATATGCTCAAACTAACAATCTGATATTTGGAATTCTCATTTAGCAGTTACAGCACAAGGATCCTGTCACTTTTCGCCTCAAGACTAAGGCATGTCTACACTAGCACTCATGTCGGGAAAACTTTTGACGCTCTGGGGTGTGGAAAAAAACCCACATCCCTGAGTGACATAAGCTTCGCCGGCATAAACACTTGGGTACACAGCATTATGTCCCACTGACATAGCTACCACCACTCGTTAAGCAGGTTTTATGTCAACGGGAGAGCTCTCCCCCGTAGGCATAATGTGGCTATATGAGCAATCTTATAGTGCAGACATGGCCATATTTTGTTAGCAGATGCCGTGCAAGATGTGATGTTTTATACACATTTTAGGAGAAACCCATATCTGCTTGCCAGAGGTGAATTAGTTGGCTAACATACGAGTAACAAGCTGCAAGTTGCAGAAAACCACCACCAGATGGTGCAATCACAACAGTGTAATCTGTCACATTTCTTTGCTTGCACTCTGTGCAGCCCCAGAGACTGGGAGGCACCTGACGTAACAAGAACATTTGGTACACTAGAAGGAAACAGTTCATTTTAAAATAAATTACTATATAGATAGGATAATGAAGTTATTGGTCAACATCTTGCTCAACCAGAATGGTGTGAAGTTCACAAAGTGCAACGTATAACATTTATTTTAGAAACCAGATCTAAAACTACTGACGACCCACCATGCTTGCTCTGTGCCTAGAAGGTCGGGTACAGAATACTTTGAACACTTAATAATTGTTCAGTTATTTAATATTTCAAGCCTGCCCAGTTTTATGTATGCACTGATCTACACTTGTAACTTAACACCTGACAAAATTGAGAAATATTTTGATCCAGGTTTGCCAAGTCTTAATTAAAACCAACAGAGAGAAGTATAAGCAAAGATTTTATTTAAATCATTTTCAGAAATCACGATCTGCCAAATGTACATGAGCATAATGAAACACACTGTTCTGAAAAGAAGTGGGCATAAATATGGAGCGGACATAATCCAGTATCTATCAAAACATTTTTTTAAAAAGAACGTCTCATTTCATGGCATTTGTGTGGTCCAGGAGACAGGGTAACATTAGAATGCAAAAATAATAACAGTTAATCCTTTTCTTCATAACGCTGAAATATTTTGTCTCAGAGATTTAAGCACAATAATTTCTTGAAATCGCCATTTCAAGGTTGCTGAACAATTTGAAATGGATAAATTTGTAACTCTTAAAGACTTCCAGCTTCCACCAGGTGCTGTCAGAAAAATCAAATTGCAATAAAGTGAACTTTAAATTTTTTCAATAAAATTATAGTGCACTTCCTATAGAGGAAGTGATGCAAAATTAACTTCTGCCTAATAATTTACATCAGTAGGTTTCCAAGTAGGAATTGTTCGATCATGAATGTTCTTTTATGGAAGCAGGAACAACGACTAGCATAATGCCTTAAATATCAGTTCTTACACCCTTCCACTAAGTGGAAAACCTGCCTAAATTTCATGAAGATAATTTGTGGCCAGCTGTAGCTCACTCACAGTGCTTCACCATGGTCACATGCACTTAGTCTCATATAATGATGCAAATGTATATCATTTTGTATTTTTAACATAAGATAGAGAACATATACATTAAAATCAGAAGTGGGTTTATGATATACATATAAATACACCAAGAATTATACTCCAGTTTTGGAAGCATGTTAGAAGGGGGAAATCTGGAACAATAGAAACTGGGCATTGCCAATAGGCTATGGAAATCATTTAAATCAAAGACATCACTTTTTTCAATCATTTCATCAAACAAAAATAAAGAAGTCTTGAAAAGAGTAGAGGGTGATGACTAAAGCTCCTGATCTTGCCTCAGGATTGTCAGCTACTCTCAAGGAATGACGTCAGATATTGATGGTCTAATCTCACAATTCAGAAATATTGGTCTACAGACCAATCAGCAGATTCCACTTTCTGCTCTTGCCTTCTTCACATTCTGGTCTCTCCAAATGTAGCACACACATTTAACAGAACGGCTGAAATAAAAGAATAAAAATATTAAAGCCTTATTAATCACAAATTTCTCTCTCAAGTCATTTCTATTCTCCCTCACAATTTCCTTAAGTGGTGAGGCTGTTCTTCAGGAGTGGTGTTGAAGAGAGACCTCATCAACTCAGTTAACATCCTCCAGTTTAAAAAGAAAAAGCTAAGCTCAACACAATTGACGGTAAGGGTAAGGATGACCTGTGACCATTACCTCCCCTTAAAGAGAATTCACTTGAAAAATCTTCACCTCCTAAATCAGGGGTTCTCAAACTGGGGGTTGGGACCCCTCAGGAGGTTCCAAGGTTATTACATGGGGGGTCATGAGCGGTCAGCCTCCACCCCCAAATCCCGCTTCACCTCCAGCATTTATAATAGTGTTTTAAATTTATAAGGGGGTCGCACTCAGAGGCTTGCTGTGTGAAAGCGGTCACCAGTACAAAAGTTTGAGAACCACAGCCCTAAATCATTATCTTGGAAGTTGTTATACCAGCCAACAAGTGGCAATTGTTTAAGTGGGATTCCACTTAATCAAAAGTCAGACTTTTCTGCTGGAACAAGGCTGTGATGAGCAACATCTTAGGATGCGGCTGGAGAGGGGGAGCCAGATGGAGAAAGCAAAAGGATTGTAGGGCAACACAGCATGGGAGTTTTCCCTTTGCTCTTCCTGTGTATCTCCCAAAGTCCAAAATGAAAGGTGCCTGGACTCCTGGGGGCCTTCGGAGGTGCACAGGAGTTGGGCTCCCTTAAGCATTTTAAAGAGACAAGGTGGGTGAGGTAATATATTTTATTGGACCAACTTCTGTTGGTGAAAGAGACAAGCTTTCAAACGTACAAAGAGCTCATACAAAGAGCTCGTCTTCAGGTCTGTGAAAGGTATTGAGCAACACAGCCAAATGCAACGTGGAACAGATTGTTTAGCATAAGATTGTTTAGCATAAGTAGTTAGCACATAATATAAGGTAGAGTGGCCCATTAAGTTCTGCAGTCATAGGACAAAATGAGGAGGGTAGTGGGTTGCAGATTGGTAAAAAGCATAAATCCGGTGTCTCTGTTCAGTCCATGATTTTTACTGACTAACAGAGTTGGGAATTTAAGCTCATCTTTTGAAAGCACTGAGAGCCTTTTTAGACTTGAGGGGGAGATATAGGAATACAGTGACAAGCTCCGTAGACCCCCATTCTGCCCTTGTTGCATGTCCCACATTCTGCTGCCTCCACAAAACCTTCACTATTCGCTCAGTTGCCCCATTTTCTCCAGTGAAAACTTCCCGTACCCCACTGACAACATTTGTACCATCTTCTTCACAGCCCTCCTTGAGCTCAACGCTCTGGTCAGCCCACTCATTACAACACAACACCCTCACTACCAGGGGCAGCTCTATGGTTTTTGCCGCCCCAAGGACAGCAGTCAGGTGGCTTTTGGTGGCACGCCTGTGGGCGGTCCGCTGGCCACGCGGATTTGGTGGCATGCCTGCGGGATGTCCGCAGGTGCTGCGCTTTCAGCGTCCCCACTGCCGAATTACCGCTGAATTCGCAGGACTGGTGGACCTCCTGCAGGCATGGCACGGAAGGCAGCCTGACGGCCACCCTCACAGCAACCAGCAGGCTGCCCCCCGCGGCTTGCCGCCTCAGGCATGCACTTGCTACACTGGTGCCTGGAGCCGCCCCTGCTCACTACATGAACACTCACACTCCCCTCCTGCAGAACTCCTAAGATTCACAGAAATGGAGCACCTTAGGGAATCCAGGGAGAGGGTAGAAGGAGACATGGAGGCACACCCTAAATAGATGTTCTAAATCTAGAATCTGACAAAAAGAAGTGTTAGAAGAATTTTCAAGGGTGATGATCACTACATTTTAATTTCATTTTGTTTTCAACAGCGTGTCTGATTAGCTTCAGTATAGGTAAACATTCTCTTTTCTACATTGACAAGCTACCCTAGTGATTGGTCATTTGACAGCCTATTTTAACCTCTTCTGGATTGAGGTATCATTCTGCATTACTAATTTAAATATGAAGATTTAAAATGGGAATGTAGCCACTTTGTCTTGTACTCTACATCAGAAATAGGAGACCTGAAAAATCAGTTAAACTCTCTCTCTCTCCCCCCTTTTCCATTGTTTTTTAGGAAAATGGCAAAAAAAAGATGAACACAATTTAGGATATCATAATTCAGTAACTATTTGTCCACCTAACTTCATATTTCAGATAAAAATCCAACTTCTTCCCCAGATATACCCAACAAATTTTCCTCTGTTAGCAGACTCATTTAAGTGGGAGAAAGACAGATAAATGGGCACAATTCCAAATTTCCCTGGAAACTCAAATGCTTACCCATGAACTAACCCATTCTAGAATCCATACCAATTTTCTGGCCATAGACAGCTGAACTTGAACTTTCACCTTCTCCAGTTTGTTTCAGTTCTTGTTGAAAGGCAAGTCAACACACAGGTATATATTGCTGGATTATTCTAGTTAAAGATACTGTCAACATAGCTTTCAGAATTTAAACATGTTAGTTATTTTTAAATCCCACATCACAGAAGCTTAAATCACATGGCTGCACTGGTTTATTATTGTCAGGTTGTTCATAATTATCCACCAGCTGACACTGACTGGAATTTTATATAAGAAGTGGCTGCATTTCCCTACTGTGTTTGTATAGCTTTTAGAGTTTTTCCTACACTGAAGGGACTCTTTTTCAGTACTTCATCTCTTGTCTTCATTTCCCAGCAGAATCCCCATCTCACTCTAGAGTTCTTGCTCTGAAGAGAACAACACTTCTCTCACTTCCACAGAACTCTAATATAACAGGAAGGTGGCAGCATCACAGCCTCATTATCTCAGTTTGCTTCACAGGTTCTGTACTGGTTTTTGCGCTGCTGGTTTTCAGCCAAACAGGATGGCTGGGTACTAGTAGCAAGGTAAGCAGGATCACATTAGGAACACAAGATGAGAAGGAGGAGACTCCCAGCAAAGGATGAGTAGGTGTTTTTCCTTTCAAAAGTCCTGAAGCAGACCCATCTTCCAGTGGCCAGAAACCTACCCTCCCTCCCAGGTGTCCAACACTCAAGTGGCTACTTCTTAAACTTGAAAATTAGCCAGTTCCCAGGTTACATTCTTCTGGAAATCTAAGTTCAGATCCTAACATAAATCAGGACAGCTCTATTTGAAGTCTACAGAGTAACTGACTTACACCAGTTGATGATCTGGCCTCTAATTTTCAGAGGCAAAATGACAACGGCAATAGAAACGGTTACAACTTTTGTTTTCTGTCTCAATTAACACCAACAGTTTAGTACTGAGCTGGAGGAAAGACTGCCACTAATGAATTCTCAGCATTTCCTGCAGCAACTGGGGTTTCCTTGGAGGTCTCCCATCCAAGTACTGACTAGATACAGATCAATTTGCTTAGCTTGTAAGATGACAGTAATATAGCTGCATGTCCCATATTACCCCCAGGATTGTTGCTGGAATTCCCCCCTATTCACGGATGAGCAAAGACTAAAATGGGAAGTGGAGCAAACTCTCACTGTACTACCCAAGAAGGAGGAGGGGCCCTGTAGGAGAGAATAGCTCTCTTACTGCATTTAGAAGAGAAACAGTACTGTGCTGCACCTGAATTTCTGATTTCCCAAGGTGTTGAGTATGCACAGCTCCAACTGGCACTCATGAGGGACAGCAGGTGAAGGATAATACAGTAGGCAAGTGGAGAATAATTACCCATGAAGTTGACTAATACAGCTGTTTTAGTAGTACCTCTGCTTTACATCTCATCCAAAAGATCTGTTGCTTCTGAATAAAAGTGGCCTCATTTGCAGAGGTGCAAGTTCTCTTGTTGACAATGGAAGCTGTGAGTACTCAACAACTTTTAAAAATAAGGCTCCTTATTTATGTTTTTAGATAGGAGCATAACAACGGCCATACTGGGTCAGACCAATGGTCCATCTAGCCCAGAGTAGCCTGTCTTCCGACAGTGGCCAACATAAGGTGATTCAGAGGAAATGAACAGAACAGGCAAGCAATGAGAATGGGAATCCTGGACGCCCCATTCATCTTAGGCATTGGCACCCTGACAGCAGGATTATCTGGCTATGTAGACTCTCTGCTCAAGCCCTATACTCCCAGCACTCCCAGCTATCTTCGAGACACCACTGACTTCCTAAGGAGACTACAATCCTTTGATGATCTTCCAGAAAACACCATCCTAGCCATTATGGATGTAGAAGCTCTCTACACCAACATTCCACACAAAGATGGACTACAAGCCATCAGGAATAGCATCCCCAATGCCATCACGGTAAACCTGGTGGCTGAACTTTGTGACTTTGTCCTCACCCACAACTATTTCAGATGTGGGGACAATTTATAACTTCAAGTCAACAGGACTGCAATGGGTACCCTCATGGCCCCTCAATATGCCAACATTTTTATGGCTGACTTAGAACAACGCTTCCTCAGCTCTCGTCCCCTTACGCCCCTACTCTACTTGCGCTACACCAGGGGTTCTCAAACTGGGGTCAGAACCCCTCAGGGTGTCGCAAGGTTATTACATGGGGGTCACGAGCTGTCAACCTCCAACCCAAACCCCGCTTTGCCTCCAGCATTTAAAATGGTGTTAAATATATTTTAAAAATGTTTTTAATTTATAAGGGGGGGGGGGGTCGGC